TGCCATAAGCCTACCGATCCAAGGATTCAACAATCAACAATATAATCATTTATACAAGAAAAGGATGCATAAGCCCTACCAATTCAAGGTATACTTTACATTGAAGAATCCTTCATATTCTATCATCAACATTCATGAGTGTCAAATTGAGAAATAATCTTTCAATAGTAACACATTTACATTCATAACATGATCACATTATCTTCATTGAACTCTCATTCATACAATGTCATGATAACACTTCAATTTCTTATACTATGCCTTCAAGGCCATGGTCACAATGTAACAAACAAGTAAACAATTCTAAGTCAACATTAGCTCCTCATGTCTTGCCTTTAAGGCCATGGTCACAATACATTCCATAATTAAACACCTCCACCATAAGTGGATCAAACCAAGCAAGAACAGTTTTATCCCTAATATGAGATTAAGCCAACTTACCATCCTCCAAAGCCATAATAACCATTACTCAATTCCCAACAATTCTATCACCACAAGGTGATTCGCCCATAATTTGCCCATAAGGCCACAATCCTCAATTCATCCATATACCAACAATTCATCAACATTAAATCATAGGCATTAAACCCACTTCATAAGCAAATTCAAGTCTTTTAATGAAAACATGGGTTCTTGAAGAAGTTTCATATAAAATCATCTTAAAATCATAAATACAATTTCAATTCACCAATATAATGACTTTGAAAACATTTTATCCATGAACCCATACCTAGAATAGAAAATAGAAATTTTGTTCTTTGAAGACTTTTGAAACCCTTTTTAATGGACTCCTTGAAGGAAAGATAATCAAGGATCAAGGGTCACCATACCTTTGCTATGATTCCCCAAGAAAATTGATGAAGAAAGCCTTGAATCCAAGCCCTAGCTCCAAGTTCTTCTTCTTCTTAATGAAGGATTGTAGAGAGGGAAATGTTTTTAGGGATGGGAATTGGATTATGGTATCTAGGAAATAATATAAGTCCTTTGAAAAAAAGGGTCCAACACTTAGAAAAATTTTCAGGCGGGTGAACAGTAATGAACAGTAACATTAGCTACTGGAATTTGCATTTTCTGCCGGACAGACTTTACGAAAATGGGCATAACTTCTTCGTCCGAACTCCGAATGAGATGAAACGAAGTGCGTTAGGTAGCTAACTCAAAGGGCTTTCCATGGATATATTATGGCCACCCAAATAATTTGTGTGCTAGGAGATATGACCCTCCAAAGTAGACCCTCGAAAAAGGCTTCACTTGGAAATTTCGGATTTTGATACGGTTGCTCTAAAATTTGGGTTAGACCCATTTCCCACTCAATTTGACCCCCTAAACAAGAATATGAAGTTGGATTTTCGAAAAACGAAATGGATCTTTTAGTATACCGCTAAACAAGTTTCCGGTAACTTCCGAAGCACATTTTTAAGAACTTTTGGGTCAAATTCAAATATAATCATTTCATTAAGTTCTCGACTCCAAACTCACATGTGAGGCTCTAGTTTCACTCTATCATTTTCCGAGTCGTTACATTATATGACGAAATCAAACCTATTATACAAGTGATAAAGATTGGATTAACAAGAGAGATGATAATACTAGAAAAAATAGAAAAACAAGAGGAAATACAAAAGATAGAGATACCATCTCTTTCTTTGATTTCGACTAATACTTAGGTGATGTGAAAATTAATTTGTATATATCTTAGCTTTCACAAAAGCTAAAATCTATTAACAAATACTGATTGTTCCAAAAGAATAAGAAAAATGGAAGTGATCAACACAAATGAAGCAAAGTATGACAGAAAGGCTGAACTACAAGCCTTTGATGAGACAAAAGCTGGTGTTAAGGGACTAGTCGATGCAGGTATCACCAAAGTACTAAGAATTTTTGTTCAACCATAACGATCGAAGATTCAACAATTCACAGCAACAAAAACTTCAGTTTTCCAATAATTGATTTTGATGGCATCAAGGAAGATCTGATCAAACGAAAGAAGATAATCCAGGAAGTCGGTCAAGCATCCGAGAGTTGGGGATTCCTTCAAGTGATCAATCATGGGATTCCCAGTCATGTTCTGGAGGAAATGAAAGACGGGGTTATCAGGTTCTTTGAGCAAGATACTGAGGTAAAGAAACAGTGGTATACGCGAGACTTCATCAAAGTGTTTCAATATACAAGCAATTTTGATCTGTTTGGAGCACCAGTAACCAATTGGAGGGACACTTTTACTGCCATCATAGCTCCTACACCTCCAAATCCTGAAATATTACCTTCTGTCTGCAGGTATTAGTTGCATACCTCTCAATAATAGTCATCCTATATAACAACATTTCACTAGAACGGCCAAGTTATTTTAACCAATTTTTTATGTTATGTTATGTTATGCTATACTCCCTCCATCCCAATTTATGTGACACCGTTTGACTTGGCATAAAGTTTATGAAATAAAAGAATTTTGAAGTTTGTGTCTAAAACACTCCTTCACCATTTGTGCGGTTATAAATCATTTCATTAAAAGGGTAAAATAGAAATTTTAAAGTTAAATTGTTTTTCAATTATAGAAAGGTGACATTCTTTTTGGGACGGACTAAAAAGGGAAGTGTGTCACATGCATTGGAACAGAGGGAGTATGTTCTCTATAACAAGATTTCGCTATAGCAACCCAATTTTTTTTAGAGAAACGACGTTGTTATAGAGAGGTTTGATGACTGTATTATGTTTTTATTTGCTTATTAGTTATTCTGCATCTGTCATAGGGATATTCTCCTTGAGTACACAAACCAAGTGATGGAATTAGGTGACACTCTATTTGAACTACTGTCTGAGGCTATTGTCCTAGAACCCAACCACCTCAAGGATATGGATTGAACCAAGGGCCTTTTTGCTTTAGGTCATTATTATCCAGCATGTCCACAACCCGAAATTACTCCAGGCACCAGTAAACATGCTGACAACGACTTCCTCACCGTGCTTCTCCAAGACAACATAGGTTGCCTCCAAGTCCTACATCAGAACCATTGGGTAGATGTTCCCCTACTCCCGGAGCTCTCGTAATCAATATAGGAGATATTCTACAGGCAAGTAGTGTTACATTTAGCATACCTGTATCAGAAACATACTTGTCTCTTATTACTTGTGTTATGTAGATTGATATGTTTTTTACTCAAATCATTTTCAGCTTATATCGAATGACAAATTCAAAAGTGTTGAACATAGAGTACTAGCAAATAAGATTGGTCCAAGGGTATCAATGGTCTTCACGACAGGTTTACTACCAACACAAAAGCTGTATGGACCTATAAAGGAGTTGATATCTGAACACAATCCTCCAAAGTACAGGGAAACAACAATTAAGGAGTACTCAACTTATTTCACTAACAAAGGGATGGATGGCACTTCTGCTTTGCTGCATTTTAGGCTTTAGACTATGTGTAATCTTAACAGTATGCTCATTATGATAATACACTTTAAACTGTTGTAATGAACTATATTGTAAAACATTTTAGTATAGATAGTCACGATTTATGCGTTGTAATCTTCAAGTTATAAAGAATCTTTACAAATACTTCTTGGTTATGTATTTTGACACTTCAGCTAAGTATATTCTGTAATGTGAGGATTCATCATGAAGTGACTAGTTTTACAGTGGCGGTCAATCTACCACGACCCTCCACTTTTATCCGAGATTGAGACCAACAATGTGAGCAAGCTCACAAAGGCGGAATTAACGTCAGGGAAATGAGAAGAGATCTCTAGCAAGCTTTTTGAAATGAATAATCAGTATGGTATCTTTCTTGTTGTACTCAATTTTCTATACTAAAGCAATTATATCTGTTCAAGAATAAAAATCAACGGTAGATTATAATACCGTGTCTTGTGTGGAAGAAACACTGAAATTCAAAACAAAGACAGATCAAAGTTAAATCTATATTCTGAAGATATGCATGGATGATAAAAGAATTAAGATCAGTACCAGTAATACCGATGATGCGTGTACTCTTTCTCCATTTCCTTGTGAACCAGAACTTTGAACTAGTCTTCTTTTCCAGCTGCGACGATGACAGATTTGTCTTGAAGCTGAATAAAAGATGTATCTTGACTTTGTTAAAACTGTCAATTCTTAGTTGCATTATTTGTTGATTTATCTCTTACATTTTGACTAATACTTAGTTGATGTGCAAATAAATTTGTATATATCTTAACTTTTACAAGATATTCAATGCGTATGAGACATATTTTACTTTAAATATCAGCTAAGAAAAAAATGGAGGTGATCAACACAAATGAAGTCCAGGTTCCAAGTGAAGCAAAGTATGACAGAAAGGCTGAACTACAAGCTTTTGATGAGACGAAAGCCGGTGTTAAGGGACTAGTCGATACAGGTATCACCAAAGTACCAAGAATGTTTGTTCAACCATCAAATATTGAAGATTCAACAATTCACAGCAACAAGAACTTCAAGTTTCCTATAATTGATCTTGATGGTATCAAGGAAGATCCGATCAAGCGAAAGAACATAGTCCAGGAAGTCGGTCAAGCATCCGAGACTTGGGGATTCTTTCAAGTGATCAATCATGGGATTCCTAGTCATGTTCTGGAGGAAATGAAAGACGGTGTTATCAGTTTCTTTGAACAAGATACTGAGGAGAAGAAACAGTGGTATACGCGAGATTTGACAAAAGTGTTTACATTTAACAGCAATTTTGACCTGTTTGGAGCACCAGTAACCAACTGGAGGGACACTTTTACTGCCACCACAGCTCCTATACCTCCAAAACCTGAAGAATTACCTTCTGTCTGCAGGTATCGTAAATTTTACTCTACAATCCTATACCCTTCTATAACAACATTTCACTATAACGGTGAAACTTATATTTCGAACAGATTTTTCATGTTATGTTATATTATATGTTCTCTGTAACAGTATTTTCAATAGCATCCATATTAAGACAAATGACATCGTTATAGAGAGATTTGACTATATTTGCTAATTGTGCATCTATGATAGGGATGTTCTCCTTGAGTACACAAACCAAGTGATGAAATTAGGTGATACTCTATTTGGAATACTGTCTGAAGCTATTGGCCTCGAACCAAACCACCTCAAGGATATGGGTTGTGCCGAGGGTCTTATGGCGTTAGGCCATTATTATCCAGCATGTCCACAACCTGAACTAACTCTAGGCACCAGTAGGCATGCTGACAATGACTTCCTCACCGTGCTTCTCCAAGACAACATAGGCGGTCTCCAAGTCTTACATCAGAACCATTGGGTAGATGTTCCCCCTACTCCCGGAGCTCTCGTGGTCAATATAGGAGATATTCTACAGGCAAGCTAAGTAATGTTACATTTAGCATATACCTGTATCAGAAACATAATTTTCTTATAACTTGTGATATTTTTGACTCTTATCATTTTCAGCTTATATCAAATGACAAGTTCAAAAGTGTTGATCATAGAGTACTGGCTAATAAGGTCGGTCCAAGGGTATCATTGGCATGCTTCTTCATGACAAATTTTGTTCCAACACAAAGGTTGTATGGACTTATCAAGGAGCTGATATCAGAACAGAATCCTCCAAAGTACAGGGAAACAACAATTAAAGAGTTCACAACTTATTTCAATAACAAAGGGCTGGATGGCACTTCCACTCTGTTGCATTTTAGACTTTAGACTAGATAGTTCAAGGCTTATTGGTGCAAATATAATAGGTAAGGTGTGTGTTGACATAGTTGTGGAGATGATAGATATTTTATCAAATAAGGTTTGTAAAACTGTATATGTCAAACTGTGTAAGTTCATTATGTAACCATCAATAAGTTCTACTCATAGTAAGTAATTTTCATGATTATGATTTAGATGCACTTCTTGTTATGTTCATTACTCATAGGGAGATGAAGAGCAATTTACATATGGTGTTCATTGACCTAGAAGAGACTTCTGCTAAAGTCCATAGGGGGTTCTTTGGAGGTGGTAGGAGACTAAAGGTGTACATGTAGCTTACATGGAGCCAAGACCGAGTAAGGACAGTGTGAGGAGACTCGGATCACTTTCCATTCATGATGGAGCTATCACTAGGGATAAACTCTTACCCCGTTATGGATGTACTTACGTGGCATATTCAATGAGAGGTGTCATGGTGTATGATCTTTGCAGATGAAACAATGTTGATTGATGAGACACGCGACATAGTTAACGATATAGGTTGGAGGTTTGGAGACAGACCCTCGAGTTTAAAGGGTTTATAGGTTGAGTAGGACTAAGAATGTTACACTGGTGTCTATTGAGACTCTTTGATGATTTTTTTTTTTAATCATGTAGATAGGTAAAATAATTTTTTATATGAATGATCATTACAATTAAACTCACAAAAGACCCTTACATAGAAATAGAACACCAAGAGGAACTACAACTTATCTCATGCTTTAATAAATAGGAATATTAAAGCACTATATAACTTACCTAAACCCCATAGTGTAAAGGGTAAATTAATTAATTACAATAATCCCTTAATATGTGTACCTTCCGGATACATTAATTCTAATACAAGACGAATCTTTCTAATGCGCTAAAAAGGAAATAAAATTTGAAAATTAATTAAATCCCATAAATTACGCTTACGTTTCTTCTTACTCTCAATCATACTGAGGCAAATCCTATCAAAATGAAGAAATTCAAATTTTCAAATTGCTCTCCCCATCAATAAAGAAACCTTTTAGATTTGATTTTTAAAAAAATCGAAATTTTGGGTAAGCGAGGTGAGTTATGAAGGATACAAAAGTGATGGAATTGTTGTTGGACAAACGATTTCCTTTTGAATCTTCAAGTTCATCGAAGATCTTTTCAATTTTGATTCAAGATTGTCAAAAAAATTGAGATTCAAGATTCTTTCTTCTCCAGTTCATCGAAGATCCTTTCAATTTTGATTCAAAATTGTTGAAAATTTTGAGATTCAAAATTCTTTTCCTAGTTTATTGAAAATCCTTGTCGAAAATTTTGAGAAGATACATCATGAATATATTTGCTACATAGCATTTTACTATTTATATATCTTGTTTAAATTGATAAGTATTGTATTTATATTAGATACATTAAATAAGTAATTGTTGCCCATAAGATGTTAGATTTGAGATCGATACATTATTGTGTGGTAGTTGCTATGTTATGATACATTTAGTATAAATTCGAATTTACGTATATATTTAAAAAAAAATAGTGCATGATACACATTACTATGTATGTATCTCGTTTAAATTGATAAGTATTGTATTGTTACGGGATACATTAAACATGTACTTGTTGCCCTAAGTTGTTTGGTTTGAGATCGATACATTTAGTATAAATTAGTATTTATGTATCATGCCCGTATAATTTGACGTAGCTATGTATCAAGTTTTCAACGACATGACGTTTTTTAAAAGATAAAACATTTATTTTTCTTGCTATTATAAAAGTAATAAATGAAATAAATAAATAAATTTTAAAAATAGTGGATAAATAAAATTAATCGGAAAGGATAATATAGTAAATTCAATAATAAATAAGAAGACACAGAATTTTACTCATAAATCACATTCGCTAAATGTGTTTTATGCCTTTCATTCTCATCTCTATCTATTTAGGTATCTGAGAAAGGTTTTTCAAGTTTTCAACGACATGACGTATTTTTAAAAGATAAAATATTTATTTTTCTTGATATTATAAAAATAATAAATGAAATAAATAAATATATTTTAAAAATAGTGGACAAATAAAATTAATCGGAAAGGATAATATAGTAATTTCAACAATAAATAAGAAGACACAGAATTTTACTCATAAATCGTATTCGCTGAATGCGTTTTATGCCTTTCATTCTCATCTCTATCTATTTAGGTATCTGAGAAAGGTTTTTCAAGTTTTCAACTACATGACGTATTTTTAAAAGATAAAATATTTATCTTTTCTTGATATTATAAAAATAATAAATGAAATAAATAAATATATTTTAAAAATAGTGGACAAATAAAATTAACCGGAAAGGGTAATATAGTAGTTTCAACAATAAATAAGAAGACACAGAAGTTTACTCATAAATCACATTCGTTGAATGCCTTTTAAGCCTTTCATTCTCATCTCTATCTAATTAGGTAACTGAGAAAGGTTTTTCAAGTTTTCAACGACATGACGTATTTTTAAAAGATAAAATATTTATCTTTTCTTGTTATTATAAAAGTAATAAATGAAATAAATAAACATATTTTAAAAATAGTGGACAAATAAAATTAAACGAAAGGGATATTATAGTAATTTCAACAATAATTAAGAAGACACAGATTTTACTGTTGTTGTTTATTGTTGAAATTACTATATTACCCTTTCGTTTAATTTTATTTTTCCACTATTTTTAAAATATTTATTATTTCATTTATTACTTTTATAATATCAAAAAAAGATAAACATTTTATCTTTTAAAAAAGTCATGTAGTTGAAAACTTGAAAACTTCTTCTCAAATACCTAAATAGAAAGAGTTGAGAATGAAAGGCATAAAACGCATTCAGAGAATGCGATTTATGAGTAAAATTTTGTGTCTTCTTATTTATTGTTGAAATTAATATGTTACCCCTTCCGTTTAATTTTATTTGTCCACTATTTTTAAAATATATTTATTTATTTCATTTATTACTTTTATAATATCAAGAAAAGATAAACATTTTATCTTTTCAAAAACGCCATGTTGTTAAAAACCCCTTCTCAGATATCTAAATACAAAGAGCTGAGAATGAAAGGCATAAAATGCATTCAGCAAATGCGATTTATGAGTAAAATTGTGTGTCTTCTTATTAATTGTTGAAATTACTATATTACTCCTTCCGTTTAATTTTATTTGTCCACTATTTTCAAAAAATATATATTAATTTCATTTATTACTCTTATAATATCAAGAAAAAATAAACATTTTATCTTTTAAATAAAGTCAATCGCTGAAAACTTGAAAACCCTTACTCAGATACCTAAATAGAAAGAGCTAATAATGAAAGGCATAAAATTCATTCAACAAATTTGATTTATAAGTAAAATTATGTGTCTTTTTTTTTTTATTGTTGAAATTACTATATTACCCTTCCATTTAATTTTATTTGTCCACTATTTTAAAAATATATATTTATTTATTTCATTCATTACTTTTATAATATCAGGAAAAGATAAATATTTTATCTTTTAAAAAAAGGTCATATCGTTGAAAACTTGAAAAAATCCTTCTCAGATACCTAAATAGAAAGAGTTGAGAATGAAATGCATAAAACGCATTCAGCGGATGCAATTTATGAGTAAAATTTTGTGTCTTTTTATTTATTTATGAATTTACTATATTACCCCTTCCGTTTAATTTTATTTGTCCACTATTTTTAAAATATATTTATTTATTTCATTTATTACTTTTATAATATCAAAAAATATAAATATTTTATCTTTTCAAAAACGTCATGTCGTGGAAAATTTGAAAACCCTTCTCAGAAACCTAAATAGAAACAACTGAGAATGAAATGCATAAAACGCATTCAACTTTTTTATTGTTGAAATTACTATATTACTCCTTCCGTTTAATTTTATTTGTCCACTATTTTTAAAATTTATTTATTTATTTCATTTATTACTTTTAGTCGGAATGACCCGGGAGACTCTTGTATTTGGTTCCATTTGTTAGTTGAACCCTTATACTCACGATTTTGCCAACTGAACCTTAAACTTACTAAAATACAATATTTTAAACACATTTGACCATCGGCCAAACTTATGTGACACTAATATTGCTGAGATGGAAAAATATTTGACTACAGGCGCATTAAAGCGAGTGAATATATATTTTTTATATTAAAAATCATAAAAAAATATTTCTTTTTAAAAAAGAAAAAGTCAACCCATCAGCCCCCTATCCCATCCCACTCCCTTGCCTGTAACTTTCTTCTTCCTTCAACCCCCCACCCCACGCTCTCCTTCTTCCTTGAAACCACCCACCCCACCCTACCCCACCCCCTTCTTCTTCTTCTTAACATCCGCCCCCACCCCTCACCCCACCTAACCAAATCTCTTATCTCAACCAGTTTAGTTTCTTTTATTTTAAAATTCAAAATACTTCTCTATGAATCTTGATCGATTTACACAGTTCTAAAATTTGGGTTTTCGAATCTTGTTTGTGAAAGATTGAAATTTAGATAATTTTGAAATCTTGAAGAGTAATGATGTATACAGAAAAGTTGAAAAAAACTTGAAGAATAATGAGTGGGTTTTGTGAATTTATGAAATTAATTTAAAATTATGATGGAAAATTATTGGGTTTGTGTTGGTAAGCTTTTAGTGTAAAAAAAATTCATGTCAAATACGAAGAATTAGACCAACTTGACATGAATTTAGTGCTCAATTATGATCAAATATGAGTACAAGGGTCCGACTGACAAACGGAGCCAAGTATAAGGATATCCGAGGTCATTTTGCCTTAATTTTATAATATCGAGAAAATATAAACATTTTACCATTTAAAAGCGTCATGTCGTTGAAAACCCCTTCTCATATACCTAAATAGAAAGAACTGAGACTGAAAGACATAAAACGCATTCAGCGAATGCGATTTATGAGTAAAATTTTGTGTCTTCTTATTTATTGTTGAAATTACTATTTTACCCCTTCCGTTTAATTTTATTTGTCCACTATTTTTAAAATATATTTATTTATTTCATTTATTACTTTTATAATATCAAGAAAAGATAAACATTTTATCTTTTAAAAAATGTCATGTCGTTGAAAATTTGAAAACTCATTCTCAGATACCTAAATAGAAAGAACTGAGAATGAAAGGCATAAAACGCAGCTGAATGCGATTTATGAGTAAAATTCTTTGTCTTCTTATTTATTGTTGAAATTACTATATTACCCCTTTCGTTTAATTTTATTTGTCCACTATTTTAAAAATATATTTATTTGTTTCATCTATTACTTTTATAATATCAAGAAAAGATAAATATTTTATCTTTTTAAAAAATGTCATATCATAGAAAACATGAAAACCCCTTATCAGAAACCTAAATAGAAAGAGCTGAGAATGAAATGCATAAAACGCATTCAGAGAATACGATTTACGAGTAAAATTCTGTGTCATCTTATTTATTGTTGAAATTACTATTTTATCCTTCTATTTTAATTTTATTTGTCCACTGTTTTTAAAATATATTTATTTATTTCATTTATTACTTTTATAATATCAAGAAAAGATAAACATTTTATCTTTTAAAAAAGGGCATGTCGTTGAAAACCCGTTCATAGATACCTAAATAAAAAAGGTTGAGAATGAAATGAATAAAACACATTCAGAGAACACGATTAAGTAAAATTATGTGTCTTCTTATTTATCTTTGAAATTACTATATTACCCCTTCCGTGTAAGTATTTTTTTTGTCCACTATTTTTAAAATATGTTTATTTATTTCATTTATTACTTTTATAATATCAAGAAAGGATAAACATTTTATCTTTTCAAAAACATCATGTCGTTGAAAACCCCTTCTCAGATACCTAAATAGAAAGAGCTGAGAATGAAAGGCATAAAAAGCATTCAACGAACGTGATTTATGAGTAATTCTGTTTTTTCTCATTTATTGATCAAATTACTATATTACCCCTTCCGTTTAATTTTATTTGTCCACTATTTTTAAAATATATTTATTTATATCATTTATTACTTTTATAATATCAAGAATAGATAAATATTTTATCTTTTAAAAAGCGTCATGTCGTTGAAAACCTCAAAACCTCTTCTCAGATACCTAAATAGAAAGAGTTGAGAATGAAAGGTATAAAACACACTCAACGAATGTGATTTATGAGTAAAATTTTGTGCCTTTTTATTTATTATTGAAATTACTATATTATCCCTTCCGTTTAATTTTATTTGTCCACTATTTTAAAAATATATTTATTTATTTCATTTATTACTTTTATAATATCAAGAAAAGATAAATATTTTATCTTTTAAAAAACGTTGTGTCGTTGAAAACTTGAAAACCTCTTCTCAAATTTCATCAAATAAATACACAAACTAATTTAGAATTCAATAATTTAAAAGATAAAAATTCAAAATTCATCAAATTTAAATTTTAACTTTACCTCTCGAAGCAAAAAGGAATTTGCACAGTGATAAATTTTCATCAATAATATGTTATAATTTATAATATTAAAACATTCTTGAAAGAGCTATAGTAATAAAAATAAGTTTTAATTTTTAATTAATAACAAGTTTATAAAATGATCATGTATTTCGCGCAAAGCGCGGACAAATTTATTAGTTGATAAATAACTAAGAAAATTTATAATGTGATAACTAATGAATTGAAGTGCATCAAGTGACTAAATAGAAGTCCAACCATTTATCTTTCCATTTATTATTGTGCTCCCATGTTCCTTTATTTTTTTCTTTCTTTTGAATATATTGTATCAAATTCTTTATTTGTTTATTTAAATTTTAAAATTTAATTAATTAGATATTTATTTTAGTGTAGGGGTATTTTAGTAATTTAATTTTTAACTTTATTTCTCCTATTATTTTTAGTCATATATTATTATATATTATATTATATGATATATGGTATATATATATCATAAAAATTTTATGCATGGGAATATTTTAAACATTCTAGATTGGCTTAAACTTATTAAGTAAAAATCAACTATGTCCAAGTATCAGCATAATTGATTTGAAATAATTATTATATCATGTAACATAAAATATGTACATTATGGGCTAAATGTCAGTATCAAGTAGCAGAAGCTTTGTTTTCAAACTTAGAACTGATCTTAAAAAATTAGCAATTTAATTATAATAATTAGGTCAATGAGAGATATAATAATGCCTAATTAGTAAACAGATGCAACAAGATTAGACAAGAAATTTTCGTAATTCCATTAACAACTCAACATACATGTTCGAAAATCGACGAAAAAAAACTTATTTATGCCATGTAGATCAGAATAGTATAAGAAGAAAAGTATAATCGAAAAACGTTTTGTTAGTTTATCCCAGATACTACACTAGACTATTCTAGAACAATCTATGATATTCTACAGCTTTAACTTTTTCACTTGTTATCCATTAAAAGTTTGGTTCATCTACATCATTTATGTTTGAGATATGAACATAAATGCACATGCACATACTATAAATAGCATAAAATTTTATGTATGTGAATATTTTAAACATTCTAGATTGCCTTAAACTTATTAAGTAAAAATCAACTATGTCCAAGTATCAATCAGCATAATTGATTTGAAATAATTAGTATATCATTTAACATAAAATATGTACATTATGGGCTAAATGTCAGTATCAAGTAGCAGAAGCTTTGTTTTTAAACTTAGAACTGATCTTAAAAAATTAGCAACTTAATTATAATAATTAGGTCAATGAGATATAATAATGCCTAATTAGTAAACAGATGCAACAAGATTAGACAACAAATTTTCGTGATTCCATTAACAACTCAACATACATGTTCAAAAATCGACGAGAAAAAACTTATTTATGCCAGGTAGATCAGAATAATATAAGAAGAAAAGATTTATCGAAAAACGTTTTGTTAGTTTATCCCAGATACTACACTAGACTATTCTAGAAAAAAAAATTGTTGGGTGTAGTAGAGAAGACAACTACCTTCCGGGAGGAGGGGGGGGGGTTAAATTGATTTTTTTTAAAATAATATTTTATTTTATTTACTAAATAGATTTTAAAATATTTTTTAACTTAAAATTACACATGTAATCATTTAATTGGTTGTTTGTCATGTCATCAATGAGTGTATTACACTCTCCTTCAGCTTTTTGCTTATTGTAAAAAAAGTTCCAAAATGACATAGCGAGACCCTACTTAAGGTGTCTAAAATAAACATCCTCCATTTGAGGTGTCTAAGTGAAACTTGATGCCAACTTTAGGAGGCCACTGATGGGTTTGACCTTGATTTTAATTACTTCCTCCATTTCAATTTGTTTGGTTCTGACTTGACACTAAGTTTTTTTTAAAAAAATAATGAAGACTTTTGTATCTTGACGTATTAAACTAAAGTACCATAATACAACTTCAATCTTGCGATCTTAAAGATGCAATGTAGAAAGTTGAAACTAAAGAGTTGCCAAAAATGGAATGAAACAATCTTTTTGAAACAGATTAAAAAGGAAAGTAAGACTAACAAATTAAAACAGACGGAGTAATACTTAGGTGATGTGCAAATCAATTTGTATATATATATGTATCTTAACTTTTACATGGTATTCATTCAATACCTCTAAGACAGATTTAACTTCAAATCTGAGATTTAGACAAAAGCATAAGAAAAATGGAAATGATCAAGATCAACATACATGTACCAAAGTATGAAAGAATGGCTGAACTACAAGCCTTTGATAAGACGAAAGCCGGTGTTAAGGGACTAATCGATGCAGGTATAATCAAAGTACCAAGAATGTTTGTACAACCATCAAAGATTGAAGTTTCAAGAAGTCACAACAACAAGAAGTTCATCAAGTTTCCAATAATTGATCTTGATGGCATCAAGGAAGATCCGATCAAACGAAAGAACATAGTCCAGGAAGTTGGCCATGCATCCGAGAGTTGGGGTTTCTTTCAAGTGATCAATCATGGGATTCCTAGTCATGTTATGGATGCAATGAAAGACGGTGTTACCAGGTTCTTTGAGCAAGATACTGAGGTGAAGAAGCAGTGGTATACACGAGACTTGACAAAAGAGTTCACATTTAACAGTAATTTTGATCTGTTTAGAGCACCAGTAACCAACTGGAGGGACACTTTTCGTGCCACTATAGCTCCTATACCTCCAAAGCCCGAACAACTCCCTTCTGTCTGCAGGTATTATGGTCAAACAAACATTATCGTTATAGAGAGATTTGAATATTGTATTGTATTTTAATTTGCTTATTGTGCATTTGTGATAGGGATATTCTCCTCGAGTACACGAACCAAGTGATGACATTAGGTGACACTCTATTTGAACTAGTGTCCGAGGCTATTGGCCTCGAACCAAACCACCTCAAGGATATGGGTTGTGCAGAGGGGCTTCTTGCTATAGGCCAATATTATCCAGCATGTCCACAACCTGAACTTACTCTAGGCACCAGTAAGCATGCTGACAACGACTTCCTCACCGTGCTTCTCCAAGACAACATAGGCGGTCTCCAAGTCCTACATCAGAACCATTGGGTAGATGTTCCCCCTACTCCCGGAGCACTCGTGGTCAATATAGGAGATCTTCTACAGGCAAGTAGTGTTACATTTATCATACCTGTTTCAGAAACATAATTATCTTATAGCTTATGATATTTTTGACTCGATCATTTTCAGCTTATAACGAATGACAAGTTCAAAAGTGTTGATCATAGAGTACTGGCAAATAAAGTTGGTCCAAGAATATCGTTGGCATGCTTCTTCATGACGAATTGTGTGACAACACATAGGCTGTATGGACCTATAAAGGAGTTGATATCGGAACAGAATCCTCCGAAGTACAGGGAAACAACGATTAAGGAGTTCACAACTTATTTCAATAACAAAGGGCTGGATGGCACTTCAGCTCTGTTGCAGTTTAGACTTTAGACTAAATTGTTCAGCAATTATCATCGCAAATGTAACAGGTAAGGTATGTGTTGGAATAGTTATGGAAATGAGAGATATTGAATCAAATAAGGTTGTTTGTACAACTATTTATGTCAAATTATGTATGTTTATTATGTTACCATCAATAAATTCTACAAGTAATTTTCATGATTATGCTTAGAAGCACTTGAATTATTTGATTGAATTAGAGAAACTCAATAAGATGTACAATTCATACAAGTTGATAACAGTATGAAGAAAGGAGCAGAATCACCCAAAACTACTTATAATAGTAAGAAACAAATTAAACTAAGACAAAAAAAAATTATTCACATATGAAATACGACAAACAAATCCTAACTAGACATAATTAAATAAAAACCAAAAATAACAAATCCTAAATAACTAGATTACTGGTTTAGGCTAAATACTTGAACAAATTTGGGTTCTCTTGGTCTCTTTCCAAGTAATCTCTAGTGATGAGATCTTCCATTTGTTTTTTGATTGCTTTTAAGTCAGGCTTAAACATTGAGCTCAAATGCTCAACACACTCTGCTACTAGTTGTTGATGAGGAAGAACTTTCCGACTCTTCATAATACGCACAATACAAGCATCAATTGCATAACGTCTATCTTTGCCTACATCCTCGACCACCTTTTTCCTTTCATCCACAGGAGGTAATGGGACCCTAATCCGTCTCATCCTGTCAGTGAACTTGGAGTTGAATTCAAAATGATCAGATGACGAAACAGTTGTATTACTAGGCTCCTTAATCAGAATTTTATACTTGGCACATGAAAGGGATTGAAGCAATCTGATCAAGTCATCATCAGCCAAATTTAACTGACTTTTGATTTCTGAGTAACTCAATCTATCTGACGAATTAAACAATAACAGAACAGCAGCCTGATAAGTTCCCAGAATCAGTTCAATGGTTTTTGAATCAAACTTCCCATTGACGTTGCACGTACCCAATGAATAAATCCATGTCAATTTCCTGTGTTTCGCTTTTGTCTGATAGAATTCATTGAAGACTTGTACACACTTAGCCATCTCCACAGGAAGACTCAAATCACAAGATTTATAACTAGGCCAGAACCCACTTGTAAGAATTGTGACAGTTATATCAATTCCAGGACTCGTACTCGGGTTGTTGCTGAGATATTCTTGAAACTTGTTCTGATTTTCCTTAGCCAAAGTCAAGTCTGTCAGCATTCCCTCCATCTTTGATGTAAAATGTCCACCACATTGTTGCTTTAGCTTTGTTAAGATAAGCCTTTCGTGGTCATCATTCGCACTTTTATCAAAGAGCAATCGACGAGAAAGTTTCTTCTTGCAGAACTCCACGAAAAGGTCTTTGTCATTAATGTATGCGAGAAGCTTTACCACCTTATCCAACATCTCCTCAATAGCATCATCACTGAGTTTTTCACTTCCGCCTTTCTTAAGAATATTATCACAATAAGAAGCAAGGAGCTCTGCACTTGAACAACCAGATACAATCTTGTTACAAAACACCTCAAATGCCTCATTGAGAGCCTTATGAAACAGAGAGTTATTAGCAAAACAGTTTGTAACATAAGCCATATACTTGTTGTAAAGCTCAATCAACTTTCTAACAAAGAATGGAGTTTCAGACTTGCTATTTGTCGTATCTTCAGCCTGTTGCACCAAAACCATGCCTTCAGCAACGACGTGCTGCTTAAACATATTTGAAACAGGTTCCAATACCTTGTCGATTCTGTGGAATAGTCTATACATTCGAGATAAATCCTCTACCTTATCATCTCTAAGCAATACTCGACATCCAGAATGCTCCTTCTCAAGTAACTCATTCGTATATACAACCAACAATTCGTTTTGCACTTTCTCTAAAGTTTCGTCTCACTAACAACATGGAGATAATGAGACACACTATCTTTCTCTTTCTTCAAGCACGCCTCTGCCTTCAACATATAATCTGGACACGAATCTTCCACAATCCAACTTGAAGCTTTTCGAGAATAATAAGCTGCAGTATGTTTAAGTATTGCATCTTCAAAGTCATTCTCATAATACTCCATATTCCCCATTCCAATTCCAACGAATATATCAAACACATTCTTTAATAAACCTCTATCAATCTGCTCACCCTCGCGTTCTTGTTCAATCAACACAATAACTGCATCTCTAGCTTTACCCTTCAACTTCTCATAAACCAGATCACGAAAGAACATCAGACCAACTTCGTCAAGTCCAGGTAGAGACCATCGGGCAATAAAATATCGTTCCAGATAATGGAAGAAGCGTGAGAGCCACCTAATCATAATTTTGTGATTCACCCATCTTTTGACAATCTCCCTCAATATGAACTCATCGTGCTTCTCTCGTAAAGAGGGCATAACTGTATAATTGATATAGTCTACAATTGTTTGCCTGTACTTATCATACAAGTGTTGTGAGTAATCATTCCGCCGCTTATTCTGTGTGCACATGTTAAATATAGTTGTATAGATCATCATATACTCTTGAGAGCTGAAATAAAGCTCTTCTCCTTCTAAAATTTTCTTCAATTTAGTGATTCCCATCTGCAAAAAATCCCATCCTTCCTCAAACTCAATAATCTTCACCTCACTCATCGCCATCTTAGAACCACGTATTTTACGTCCACCGGAGAAAAGAATCGATCACCGGAGAGCTGAATCACAATCGCCGGAGTTTTATTTATAAACTCAAAAGTTGTTGAATCAGACTTCAACTTCTCTCTATTCTATATATTGAAAACATTCAGCAATACCCCTACTTATAATAGTAAGAAACCAAATTAAATTACGATTAGGAAATCTATTCTTTAATGAACTAGGACAAGCAAATTCTAAATAGACATAATTAAATAAATACCAAAAATAACAAATTTTAAACAAATTAGGATTCCTATTCCAACTGCATCTAGAACCGTAAACTTGATGATATTTTTTCATCTCTATAAATACTAATGGACAAAGTTACGTGTTATATTTGATGTTTTTCATCTATCAAAACATGTTGATAGAGTTACATGCTATTGATGTTAGTATAAGATACCACATAAATTAAAATTTACTAAATTAGTCATTAAATCTCGAATATCTTGTGGAATTAGTTGAAATGTATACAAACTTAGGCATCATAGTTATCGAGAGAATCACAAATAGAAAAAGAACACAAATTTCTCCTCTCTTTTTTTTATTATTATTATTTAAAAGGTGATGAATTAAGAAAATACGAAAGGTGAGTAAAATAGATATTAATTAAGATAAGACTAAGAACTGAGTTTACTAAAAATTAAGTATTTCTTCCTACAAGAAGAAAAATATTAAATATCTTATAAGTAGCTTGCTCCTTAATATCGCTGGGATATCTTATTGTTTGCTACTCAAGAAGCTGAAATTAATTTAGTTTCAAAAAAAAAAAAAAGTTAAATAAAAAAAACAAATCCACTAGTTAATTAGTATATTAATTCAAGACAACCATATCTTTACTCTTTACATTTTCTTTCATTTGTCCACCTTTCTTCTTTCTTATACTCTATATTTAGTATATGAGATAAGATAGATATTTCAAAATTAAATTTTGAACTAAGGATATAAATTTATCTTGTCATTCAATACAATATATGAAAGAATTCTTAAAAGCTTGAAAATTTAAAAATTGATTTTGGGAATCTATGACCCCAAAACTCAAATAATGAACTCGATCCTTCAACACGTAATTACAACCTCAAACAAACGTCAGCACACTTTGAAATTGGACCTCCAAAGTCCGAATAACAACTCAAACAAGAACAATGGAAGAATTATATTTGATTTTATTTTTGTGATAGGGATGAACAAGGAAGAACAACATTTTTGAGAGGAAGGTATTTTTGCCATGTTGGACTGCCTGACAGTGGCGGAGTCAAGATTTTCATTAACAGAGTTCAAAATCTAAAAAAATAGACACACGAAGTAACCGAAGGGGGTTCGACATATACTATATATACCTAAAAAATTAATTTAACCATGTATAAATAATATAATTTTCCGTCGAAGGGGTTTGGATGAACCCCCAAACCATAAGGTGGCTCCGCCACTGCTGCCTGGGTGGACTGCCATGTCAGCTATAATGGCAAATATAACGTTTTAAGGGTATTTGTAGTCTAAAACATAAATGGCAACGATAGTTTTGATCCCAAACATAATTAAAAGATATATATGAGCTATTTCGAATAGTTCAAAGATAATTTTGACCCTTTTCTCGGTTAAAGACGAAGACATACAATATCAACCTGTAATGGCTATTCTAAAAGATTGTAGATATTTGCTAGAAGTGAACAAACACATTTCAAAATTATTTCTTTATAAGTTAGAAATTACATTGCCTAAATAGTGCCTATATAAATGTGTTACAATAAACTAGTTGTTCACTTGGAATAAGAAGGCAATATTCAAAAGGTATATTACTTAGTAGAAGAGTCTACAAGCAGGCAGGGCATTTTCGTAACTTTCTAAATTTTTTTTTCCTTAAGCCTTTGTATCTTCTTGCTTTAAGATTGTATCTTTTTTTTTTATTGGACCCAAAAACCAATCAATATTTACCTAATGGCTTGGGCTTGTTTGGATTGACTTTTGA